TCGGCTCCTCCTAAGATTATCATGCACCCAAACCAAACGGCATGTGATTCCTTACCGTCTTCACCAAAGTAATTGTCAATTTCTGTTGTTTTTTCTGTTTTTTTTGTTTTGTTTTTTCGTTTTTAGAAATATCTGATTTTTATCTTTTTTATCAGTAAATTAGTCTTCGCTGTAGGCTGCCCTTTTGTCGTTTTTTTTTTTGTCTCCTTCGCAGCCTACCCTTATAGGAAGCCCTACAAAAGCGTAGCCGCGAAGAACACTGTTTCCAAACTGATTGTAAATCGTTCAAGCCTCCAGTAACTTCCTAATTAAGCTACTTCAAATATGATGTATTTGGAATTGCCAAATTAAAACTGTAAGGGCTTTATTTACGATATGTTGGTTATGTAAATGTAGATAGAAGTCAGTAAACCGTGAAGCAAAAATCGTCTTTTAAAGTATAATATGAACACAAAATGCAAATAGAGCCTTGTAAGGTGTTAATCCCGCATAATATGCTTCTATAATTAGCAATTGAAAATATTAACAAAAAATTATTGTTTTGCAGGGACACCACCCAACTTTGGGAGCGCATGCCAAGTTTACCAACTACGCTTTTAAYGTAGACGAGTTTATGAAGCTTATAAATAAAGCTGCTCGATTAGTTCAACAGAAAAAGGAAATTCTCAAATAGCACTAAATACATTAAGATAGGAATTATAATTTTATCAAGCACAGATTAAATTTTAAACAATTAGTACTTTTTCACGTTTTTAGAGTGAAGTCATCAAACCCGTGAAATAGACATTAAACTAATAAACCTCTGTACGCTCTAATTGTATTGTTATCTTTTGGGTCTATTTAATTATCACACTTTAATAGTCAATTTCTGTTTCACGGATTTAATGACCTGACTCTAGTGTTTGCACTGGTTCACTCATTGTATTATATTTTATCAAATTTGGATGTTTCGTTTGTCTAATGAACACTCAATATTAATTATCAATATCAATTGTTTTTCGTGTTTACTGCGTTCTACTTAATCACCTTGACAATTCCGATTCATGGGTATTATTCCCTAGAGTGAATAGGGAATCAACACAAGTGAGTCTGTTGTCTACTAAAACAGCGGTCGCTCGCATTGAACTCAGTGGAAAAAGGCTTGTTCAGCACCCGTGCTGTCAAGAATGAAGATCAGCACCCAACACCTGTATTAATGTAATATTGATTTCACAGGTTTAATCGCTTTAATCAAACAAGATGCTATTCATTTTAATAGTCCAGTTTCGAATTGATAGCAAAAAAACGCTGCTGGCTTTATTTGACTACAGATTCTCTTGCGCAAAGACCTGACCAAACACAAAAGGGAGCACGAAAAAAATTCGTTTTTACAATAGACTTAAAAATTTGCATTTTCCCTGAGTTGAGACTAACCCTGTATTCCCATGAGAACTAAGGTATGATGAGCCTTCTGGGAATACAGGGTTAGCCTCAACTCGGGGGAAAATGTAAATTGTCAGCGCTATTGTACGTAAAACATTTTCTCGTGCTTTCCGTTTGGTAAGTTCCTTGCGTAAGAAAATCTGCTGTCAAAATATTGAATATGAGATTGTGTAGAGATGGTGTAGCACACATGACGTCCAGGCATAATTAGCATTGTTACAGGAAGCCCATGTAAGCGCTCTGTAGAGCGTCTAGTTTTATCAAATTTCAGCCTGGATGTTCTTTGCTAGCCTCCTCCGCACGCAACTCTTTTTTACTCCTTTGGGCTTCCTTTGTAACGGTCATAATGGCCGTTAGGCACTAGTGACGAGAACGCTCGCCTTTTCTCGCCCCCATTCTCCCTCTTTTGACTCAAAAAGAGAGGAAGCCCGTGATTCTTAGTGATGCCTGCGGAGGAGGCTAGTTCTTTGCAACCTTGTTCTCATATCTCGGGTATGTTATTCATATGGAGCAAACCGAATTCAATTTGACAACAGATCATTTTTTAAAGTTCATGGTAGTGTCCGAACAATGCCGGGAATTTTAGAATCTGTAATTTTTTAACGATATAACAGTTTGTGTCCACGCGTGTCGGTAAAAATTTCAGCGAATTTTTGCAAAGCACTTCCAATACGAATACAATAAGCTAATTTTTGTTTCAAACATTGAAATTTCTGGCGTCGTTCGGATAAGGCCCTTTAAAATAGCATGGTATAATATTTATCAATTGCATCATCAAATCATCACTAGTGTCATTAAAACACTCCATTTTCAACTTGCGTGGTTTGTTTTGGAAAAACCTTGGGACAAGGGACTTCTTTTACCTTAGACTTCTTTTACCTTAGGATGGGGAGAGGGGAGGAAAAAAATGTCCGCGTCCGGCGCTTACAAGAAAGTCAGCTTAATAGAAAGTATAAATACAGTGTTTGTATGGGAGGAAAAACTGGACCCTCCCCTAAATCCGCCACTGAGTAGTCAATAAAATCTTCAATCAATCAATATATCATTCAAAAATGTATAGCATAACGCAATATACTATATTCTAATGAAAAAAAATGAAAACACCAATAAAGTGAAACTGAGCACGGTTAAATTCACATAGTGGTTCTAGTTCATTTGAGAAAAGTCTATTTTGACATCGTCTCCAATGAGGAAGAAGCCCGCCCAGTATTTTGGTTGCTTGTATTCATCCATTTCTCTCACCTCCTTCATTGCTTGTTGTAGACTCTTACTTGAAGTCTCTCCTTTCTTTAGATGTGAATAAAACTTGAGCATAAAGACTTTGGTAGCTTCATCATCAATGGCCCACAACGACGCAACGACAGATTGAGCTCCTGCAGCTAGAAACGCTCGACTCATTCCTACAACTCCCTCGGACATTATTTTGCCACGTCCACTGTGACAGCAGCTTAGAACAACTAGTTGTGCTCGGATTCCGATTTCCTGTGCTTCTTTCATTGTCAAGACGTAGTCCTCCTCTTCTGGAGTAGTGTCTCTTGGTGATGGTACAGAAGGAGCAAGGAGTATCTGTCCATTTTCACTTCCGTGTGCTGCAAAGTGGATGACTGACACGCCAATCTTGGAAAAAAATTGGGATCGCGTGGCTTATATCGTTAACAATTACTGGATTTTGCTGGTATGGTATTAGTGATGATGAGTTGTGACGAAGTGGTGATAATAGCATCGCATTRAAATGACTATAAAAGTTATAATAGAGTGACTGAGCTTTCCCTGTTGTTGCAAAGGTCATTGACCATATGTAAAACGAGCAGATGTCTGGGAATAAGCACATTTCAAATGTTTCAAATGATGAATATCAGCAGTGTTACGAGCATTTGGATTTTACTAAAAACTTGAAAACGAGGCTGGTCAGGCCTCAATACTGATTTTCACTAAAATCTTTGCAATTTTAAACACCTGTAATTTCTGATCCTTTCATGTTAGGGCATTGAAACTTTCAGATCTTATTCWTTGTAATATGTTCTTTCAACGGATAGTAATTAATCTTATAAACTAAGGTGTTACGAAAGCCACGCCCTTTTTCAAATGGTCTATGGGCTGAATTTCTGATCAAACTGTCTGAATGGATAGTATTATTTGCATTTCCTACCTCAATATCTCAGTAATGATGCTTATATCAGATATATTTTTAAGGTGAAATGAAGCTTATAATCATGGCATTGACAAGTAATTACCTGCAGTTTCTGCATTACCAGTTCCTTTGTCGCCCTTTGTCCAATCAATGGCTTTACTCCGAGTATTTTTCCGACTTTTTTAGCTTCGTCTTCGGCGCCGGGCAAGTCTGTAATCGATCGCTCTAGACCTCTAAATATGACTTTTCCGACCTTCGGATTTCCGACTATCAGCGCACCTGACTAGAAAAGGACAAATCAGAAAAGGTTATTGAAAATACTTTCAGTAAACTCTCTAGACTGTAGAGGCTAAACTGACCTCATAATGCTGATCTTTAGCAGATTCTTGTAAGAGCTTCAAAGTTGTTAAAGTCCCTATAAACCCTTCGGGAGTTATTGGATATTTTGATTCTCTTTATATAGTAGGTTAACAATCCAAAATATTTTTTCGAGTGGATAAATATTCTTTGAGATATAGCGCTTCAAAGTTGGCTTTTCGGACACGCCCAACCGACTTGGCCGGGATAAAAAGACTCGGACCGAGAAGACTTGTGACGTCACAGCAAGAACGAATGTTGATAAACATAGCAACTCAGCTGTAAAATGTTACTAAAATGCCTACCCGTTGTGTGGTTGCTGGATGCTCAAATTCACCTGATTCATCAAAAGGAATATTCCTACATAAAATACTGTTCTTTGGTGACAATCGTCCTGAAGCAAAGCCAGAAAAAAGCAGTGGATCGACTTTATAAAGAAGAAACGGTCGAACTTCACTTATTCGTCCTACTCCGTCGTACTTTCAGACTACGTTTAGCTACTTTTCGCCTGAAGATTATTGTCAACAACGCTTTGATTTTGTGAAACTGACGTACTCAGTTAATAAAAGATGACATAGGCACTGTTGATTTACCTGTTGATAGCGATACCCTGTAATTTTTTGCAAAATTTGGGACTACTCGTTTATGTAGTTTGTTCAAAACCGTGACGGGCAGCATCCGTGATAATTTTTAAAAAAGATTCTTCTGTACGAGTGTATTCAATTCACTTATGTCACAAGAGCCGCTTAATATTATTTCTATGCAAACTAAGACTAGTTTTCAACTGACTATTGCTAGCTATTCCCTCGACTAAGTTTAGAAAAATTGATGACTACTCGGCATTTAATATAGTGAAATCAAGAGCGCGAGTGCCGAAGAAAGACGGCATGAAGCGTTCGCTTTGGTCACAAGAAATACTTAATGTTTTTATGTAAATAACAGTACTTTGATTTGTCTACTGATAGCGAGTCCTTCGAATTTGTTAGATAAGTTTAGAGACCAACACTCGGTCACGTCGTGCAGTGAACAAGCAGTGAATGGCCGAAAGTGCTATAGTATGCCGAAAGACAGCACGTAGCAGTGTTCAAATTCGTGTAGCCCATAAGAAGCACTTGATATTTCTATACAAAGCAGAACTAGTTTGATTCAAGAATCAGCAGTAATTTCCTCGAAAGTTTTGAAAAATTTTGGCTGCCAGGCATTTTAGTTTATAGTGCCAGGCTGTCGTGCATACACTAGGACATTTTAACTTAATATGAAGGCTCTATTAGCTTTTTTTTCAGCTATATTTCTCAATTATATTCCTGTAGCCATTCTTCTTCCGCTCAAGGCTCTTCGCCGTATAAACACGCTTGATTTTCGACGTCTGAAGATCATTAAAATCTTGAACGCTGTGTTACTTCTTGAAAACTTCGATCGTGTGTTCTTGCTGTGACGTCAGAGCCTTCTGTGGTACCAGACCTCTCGCGCGCCCGGCCAAATCGTTTGGGCGTGTCCGAAAGGCCGACTTTGAAGCGCTATATCTCAAAGAATATTTATCCAATCGAAAAAATATTTTGGATTGTTAACCTACTATATAAAAACAATCAAAATATCCAATAACCCCCGAAGGGTTTATAGGGACTTTAAGGAAGAAGCCATACGAACGCATTTAGTTTCGGAAAGATATTTTCCTGTTTTGGGATCTTGAAGGGCAGCAAATGGAACCATGAACAAAGGACCATCAGGAATGACAACCACTTCATCTTGGAAGATGTTTTGAGCTATTGGAGACACCAGTTTATGATAAAGCAATTGCAAAGGCTTGTCGTCTTCGTCTACATCATATACGTTTCTTAGCTTGGGATTTTGCAAAGGTTTTTCTGCGTTTTCTTGGTTTACGGCGTCTTTAGAAATACAGTCAGCTTCACTATCGTTTAACAACGAAACCGATCTATCTTCACAGTTCACCAGCACCTTCCTAACATTCATGTAGTCGTAAGCGTTCTCTAATAGATTGGTCAAAAGTTTATCATTCAGTTCGTCTGACTTATCCGTAAAGCATTCTGCAGATGATTCTAGATCTTTGATGTCACTATTAACATGGAACGTAGCATGTTTGTAAGTAAGAACCAAAMTGCTAACATTTGGATCAACCGGGTGAAGTGCATAAAACAAAATGCAGAATTTCGAAGTTGTTAAAAGCTGCTTGACATCGACAATAGTGGGTGCGATTTTATCCGTTGTTCCTTTATCAATTTCGTATTTTAGATTGAGAAGCTCACCCAAAGCACGGGCTCGACCACGATCACAGGCCAGAAGTGCTTGGTCTACCAATTGTGAGTCGAAATAAATAAAAGCTAGAAATTTGTAGGCTTTGTCGTAGGTGTCTACTATAGATATCCTGTCTTGATCTTGTGTGAGGTCGTCGAAAAGAGACTCATGGCAAGCTATGCACTTCAAAAATTGTCTTTCGGCTTCTACCATACAGCTACAGTGAAGTTCACTCCCCTCTCTCTCGAGATTGTGTTTTCTTAAGTAGCAAAGACCTAATAAATGCAATCCCTTAGTGAACCAATCAATCAATTAATCAATCAATCAATCAATCAATTAATCAATCAATCAATCAATCAATCAATCAATCAATCAATCAGTCAATCAGTCAATCAGTCAATCAGTCAGTCAGTCAGTCAGACAAACATACAATCAAACAAACAAAACAAATCCCAATTTTATCAGTCAATAATGAATACAAAATAACTTACCAAAATGAAAGTGGCCGACGCCCTCTCCCTTCTTGTCGCCAATCTCCTGTGTGATATTTATATGTCTTGCATGATATTCTATTGCCTTGATGTTTTTTCGTAATGTCTGGTATACACATCCTAGATTCAAGTAAGCAACGCCTTCTCCCTTTCTATCTCCTATCTCTATAGCAATATTAAGGCTTTTTTCGTGGTAATCAATTGCTTTGTGGAGTATACCTAACGAATGATATGCTTTTCCCAAGTTTACATAAGCAGTTCCTTCTCCAAATGTGTCTCCAATTTTTAAAGCGATGTCAAGACTTTTTTTGAAATATACAACTGCTTTGGTAGATTTACCTAGTGCCATATGAACCATTCCTAAGTTGCTATTCGCTGCCCCTTCTCCCTCCTTGTTTCCTATCTGTAACGAGATGTCGAGATCTTTTTGATGGCATTTAATTGCATCGTCAAGTCTTCCTAGAGCTTTGAAAGTATTTCCTAGGTTTCCATAAGCCGCTTGTTCATACTCTTTGTTGCTTATTTGTTCACTTATTTTGAGACTCCTTTTGTGGTAATCCATTGCCAGATCGTATTTTCCCATTAGCAAAAAATCACTTCCTATACCCGAATAGGCTACGGCTTGCTCTGCCATGTTGCTTTCACTGATGGCAATGTTTAAGCATTTTTTATGCTCTTCCATAGCTTTCTTGTAATTTCCTAAAGACTGATACGAATTTCCTAGCTTTCCATAAAGTATTCCTTTTCTCTCGGTGTCTTTGACTTCTGATACAATGTCGAGACTCTTATTATAGCACTCAATTGCTTTGTGATTGTTTCCTAATAAATGATACACACCTCCTAAATGACCATATGCCAATCCTTCCAGTTGTCTGTCATCCCACTCTTTGGCCACGCTGAGGCACTTATTATGATATTCGGCTGCCTTCTTGTAGTTTCCTGTTGATTCATAAGCATGTCCTAGGTTTTCCCACATCATGACTTCTCTTTTACCAATCTGTTGAGCAATGCTAAGACCATTTTCATAATATTCAATAGCTTCATTGTTTTTACTCAACTCTTGAAGTGCTATTCCTATATCCAAATAAGCTTCCTCTTCTTGGTCTTTGTCGTCCATCTCCTTGCTAAGGTTAAGTWTCAATTCGTAATACTTGATTGCCTCATCATATTTGCCCGCATTGAGTAAACAACGTCCTAGGTTCCCGTATGCTAAAGTTTCAGCGTTTCTGTCCCGCAATTCCAAAGCAATACTCAAAGACTTTTGGTTACATTCAATTGCCTTGTGGAAATTTTTTATTGTCTCATAAACTAARCCTGTGTTTGTGTAGTATTTTCCTACTCTCCGCATGTCATTGGTTTCTTTAGCGATTTCTACACAATTCTCGAAGCACTGTATTGCTTCACAGTACTCTCCAGCACGAAATTTGTCATTTCCTAGGGTGTCCATTGATAACAGCTTTTCTCTTTTAGGATCTTTTGCCATAATGGCGGATTAAGTGATGTTTCTACTCAGTTTTCTTTTGCACCCTTTTTTAAATCAAAAGTAACAATCGAACACCCAGATTTTTTAGCGCAAACTCCTGAAAAGCATTGCATATGTAGGTTGTTTGAGCTTCCGTCATTTCGCTTTATAAGGAATTAGAAAACGTAATTTTTACTTTCTAATGGAGATTTATATGTGCAGTATATTTACTTTCATATAATAATTTTTTACTTTCTGAAATACAAAATCATGGTGTATTGTGGTCTACCTTCAGTTCAAACAACGCCATATTTGTCAGCATGAACAAAAGATGTTTTTAATGAATCTAGACCACAGTGCAATGGAAAATGCTATCAGAAAAAGCTTATGATGATAACAGACTGGTTTTTATAATATAGGGGAATATGTACGCTTTTTGTAAAAGCTCGTTTCTCATCGTAATGCACGCAACTGAAAAAATTTTGTGAATGAATTATGATCGTCGCAGTGTAGAATAAACACTCATGTATACAACACCTATTTCAGAATTCGCAAGCGCCGGTGCAGTTTACAAAGATTTAATTATTTCGAAGTAGTTCAGACTCGATGCATACTCCATGCATACACTATTTATTTACCAAGGTTCGCTTTCCTCGATCCGTACAAAGTTATTAAACTCGATCCGTACTGTAAGATCCGTCACTTTTCTTTCAGTACTGTAATTTCTCTTAAATARTGATTTTGCCGCAATAACGGATGACCACTACAAATGTGAAAACGATTATTGGGTTTCGAAAGGGTATATTTTACTTTCTGATACTCATTTTGATAGCTACAAATAATCACAAAATGTTTTTTTTTTACTCATCGCTCATTGCTCATCACCATAAGTCCATAAACGCTACAGAGCTCACCATCAACGCTTGCCAATATACTCWTTGCTAAATCCTCCTTTAACTTTTCCTGGCACTAGCATTCACGTTCCTTCATCTAATTAGCTTTAAAAGTTTTATTTCATGCCTTTTCACTCACAAATTTATTTTACATCTGTATGTCACCCTATAAATATATACATAACTCTTTCTTTTGTCCATYACCTTCAATGATTGGCAGAAATTTCACAAAATCTGTTTGGTTGTCTTTAAACGTTTTTATGCAAGAGAACTATCAATTTCTATTCCAGCTTGCTAACAACATCTCAGCTCAGTAATTCTTGTTTGAATACAAAAATGGAAAACTCATTGTCKTAGTTCGCAGATCATCGCGCTTGTCTGTTCCGCTGATAATCTGTTAATAACAGCTACAGATGCAATGAAATAAAATTTGATTGAAATAAAACGCCATTTTTGGCGGCTATCAACGTCGAAATCAATATTTATCAATACTTTTTGATATTAAATTCCATCTGTCATGCCCAGTTGGAAACCACTTTTCTGGATTTAGTTGGTCTTCTTGTAATTGGATACAGACATTCTCTGATTTGACTGTAAAGAAAACAACAGTATCATATGCAAAAAYACGAACTTTGGATTTGACATGKGAGGTCGTTTACAAAAGCGAGAATAAGCGGCAGTACTGAACCTTGAGGTACTCCTGAGGTTACAGGTGCATAAGGAGAATTTTCTCCYTCTAGTAATACTCTTTGCATTCTGTTTGTGAGAAAGTCTTTTATACAATTTAATGTATTGTATATCAAGGTCATAATTTGACAATAAAAAGCTTATTAAAAAATTAGAAAGCTTTGCTAAAATCCATGACAAGGATGTCAGGTTGGCCTCCATTTCGCATATTTTTTGGCAAGATCATCAAAAAAGCCAATTAATTGGGATTCACATGAACGTTTTTGTCTAAATCCACGTGGGAAGACATAAAAGATGCAGTAGTGTCATTGGTAATATTGAATTAATAGCTATTAGCTGCAATTGTTTCACATGTAGATTGTAGTGTATCTAAGTGATGAAATCACTATTCAATAATCCTGAGTGATATTTCASTTTTAGTGAAACGCTTGCTTATCTCCAATTCAATTCAATTTCAGTTTATTTACGCTATTCACACGTGTAGATCGTAGTGTATSTAAGTGATGAAATCACTATTCAATAATCCTGAGTGATATTTCACTTTTAGCGAAACGCTTSCTTATCTCCAATTTAATTCAATTTCAGTTGATTTACGCTATATTCACACGATTTACAACAATATAATAGTTAAAGCAATACATAGTTCCTAGAGAAGTTTATTAGTAGATTATTTAATTGATGTACGTGTACGGCAATCCARRAGCTAAGTTGCTTCTAAGTTTGGTTGCCGTTGATCTGTCAATTCACGGAATAGGATATTAATAAAATACCGACGTGTTTTCTTTTCAATAATAACCCAGTAATGCAGTATTTGGATTATTAACCTTACACATATATAAAGATATGAATATGCGGATCGCATGGCACTATGAGACACATCAAATGGTAAAGTAAAGGAACATTTTAGTGCTTAGAAGAAGGTTATTCCGGACGAAAGACCCTTTTTCGAAAAAAAAATCTTTCTTACACATATACGTTATGTTTTGGAGTTGAGTGAAATGGGGAAAAAATATACCCGAAAAAGGTTAGATTTTTGAGAAGAATACGCTGTATGAAGTGAAGAATATATGCTGAATAGCTAATGCTTTTTGACTTGTTTGTTGTTAAAATCCTTTGGACGAGATTCGTCTCCTAAAGTTACGATAACTCTCAAAAGTCAAAGTTTCACGGGAAAAATGACCAAAACACTAAAAATGTAACATTCGTGGGTATAAATCCAACATAATACATGTGAGAACTAATATTTCAACTATTTTTAGTAAATCAAAAATAAAAAGATAGTATTGTTGTGTTATCAAACGTGGTATTTCTCACGTCTCATAATGACACGTCAGCATTGGCATGTAAAAATATACTTTACTTTTTATACATTGTAACATTAATCCTTGAGTCATTGGTAACGGCACTCAGTTCTTCACTTTCAGTGGCTCAAGAAAGGTAAGACATTTCTTCCAAGCAATGCGGTTTTCCATGAAGATTTGGGAAACAAGATGCATTCCAATTTTTATGAGTTATTTTTCACCTTTCATATTTTTCATTTAACATAGAGCATTAAACCATAGTTAATAGAGGGGAATGGTTTGGAAACCTTTTGCTGTATTTCTTTTCTGCTTCTTTTGCACGTCTTTTGAGGTTGAATCAGTTATGACCGCGCACAACGTTGTTTTACGGACGATAGAAATTGCAAAACTGACTAAACATAAACACCTTCTATGAGATTATGAAATGAAATATTTCAATATTGGTTAAAATTTTTTGTGTTTGAAGAAAAATTCCAAAGAATAATTTTCGTTCTGTTCATTCAGATGTGAACAGTTTGGCTAAAACAATGTAGTAAAACAAAAGTTGGAAAAAGTACACAAAAACCTACAACAAAAGGTTTCCTAACCATTTCCCTCTACAAACTAATTATACAAACAATTGAATATCTTATATAGAAATGGGTATAAAGTAAATTACATAACCAAAGTGCCCATTTTACTAGTAATCCAATCCGATAATCTATTTTTATGGATAACCAATCATAACGTGCGCACATTTTATTTTCGATATCCGTAATATAAATGCTTTATAAAACTAAAAAATTGTAAAAATATGTTTTGAAATTTCTGTCCTAACATGAGCACCTATCAGGCATGTGGCCCAATATCTAGTAAACGCTCTGAGGTAACGTACGGTAGTCCTGATAAATTTACTTATGACTGCAGGTATTCAATTCTGAAAGATGGAAGGATTTGTTGTCTTAGTGATTGTTCTACTTATTGGAATGTCGGGTATGAACAAGAAGTTATATTTATAACARATAAGTACTCCATTTTCGAATTTAAAGCAAACAACCGGTGCTTTAGTTGATAGCAGATTCTCTTGCGCAAAGATCTTACCAACACATAGAAAGCATGAGTTGAGAAAATGTCGTTATTACAATAACCTTTAAAATTTGCATTTTCTCCGAGTTGAGACACACCCTGTATTTATTCCCATTAGAACTAAAGCCGTTTAAGCCTTCGGCTGTGTATACATGGGTAGCCTTAACTCGGGGAAATTGTTAGCGCTATTGTACTTACAGCATTCTCTCGTGCTTTCGTTTTGTTTGTACAGTCTTTGCGTAAGAGAACCCGCTTTCAAATAAAACAGCGTTTATATTCGCTTTGAATTCGAAAATGGAGCATTGCAATTTGATATTGAACAGCTTCAGCATGAACAAACAACATATCTACTTTCAAGTCATTCCTACCCTCTTTTAAATTCAATTCATTTGGCCAATCGTTATTAACCTCTATGGTCTACAGTAAGCGCATGTTTATTTTATTACTTAAAACATCTCTATGCCTATAGCATCGTCCAATCATTGCCTATTGCAAGAAATGACAATTCCCATCTAAAAAACACTTTCAAAGAATTTACTTTTTCCCCACAGGAAGTCCAACTCATGCAATTGAAGGTAGGCAATAGTATAATACGTCCGTAGCAACAACTTCCAGAATCTACTTTGCCATCTTTCTTTCTTTAGTGCCGAATGTTCTCCAAAAGGGATTAAAATACAAAAAACAATGAAAATGCGCAGGGCTTTCTGGTAGTTGTAGTAAAGTTACGCGATCGTGCAAATGGTCTAACACGATCACACAATTAACTTTTCAGAAAGCGAGTATTTGAGGTGTGACGTTGCAATAGTTGGAGCAGGGMTTTCAGGTCTTTACATGGGGTACGAAATACTAAAAGAACATGGAGGCAAAGTGTGTATTTTTGAGAAAGATGGCACCGTTGGTGGACGAATTCGTGATCATCGTTTTGAAGAAGCTCCAAACATAGATGTTGGTAAATCCAGACTTGATATTGCTTTGCATTTCTTTCTGATTTAGGAATTATTGAGATTCAGCTATAAAACAACCTCCATCTAGTATAATATTGCTCCATAGTTAATAAAACGCTGACAACAAGTTTCTTTTCAAATCTTTACTAATTTAAAATCTAAAGTGTTGCGTCAACATCGCACAAAAAAAAGAATATTTCTAAAATAATTGCAGTATATAACACGCACTGTGATTGGTCAAAAAGCGTATCCTCTTGATGAAAGTATCAAACACGCTCGCGCCTTTATGCTTTATGGGTTGTACCTTCATTTTAACCATTTTATGACAACAAAACAAGTAAGTAAACTAAATTTGATTCAAAATTGACTGGGAATAATGAATAATGAAAAATATCAAAAATATCATAAAGAATAACGAATAATAGCAAAAGATATATAAAATGAATAATGGGTAAAAATAAGACACGAATAAAGAAGATTGAGAACTGTCATGTAAATATTCACATTCAGACGCCGATATATACATATATATTTTTCTTGTTGTTGCAGGTCTTGGTGCATGGAGAGTTGACAAAAAACACTTCCTAATGCTGTAATTATTACGTTTGATTCCTATTAACATAGTCCTTAACGGTTAAGGGAAAAAAAGAGTTTATGCGTTGCAAGACAATGTATGCATCAAACTACTAAGCGTGAACGTCGGACGATAAAGGAGCAGAGAAAGAAAATCAATGAAAGACTCTTATTCTTTTTTGTTTTCCTAAAGAGCTTTTTCGGTCGATTTTTATTCAAGAGTATCCTTTGTCTCCGCTTATTGTTTAATAATGAGAATGGACAGATCATTTAATCAATGAGTGCGACAGAGTAAATAATTCTATTTTCATTTGTTTTAGAGATTTCCTTGATGAGATTGAAATTCCGTACAAAGAGTGGAGTTTTGTCGAACCCAGCTTGTACGAAGCAAGAGGAGTCACTTCGGACAATTCGAAAGCCATCAAAATAGCTTATCCCATGCTGAAAGCAAATCCTAAATTTGGAAACATGAGTTCCGGAGAGATGTGGGACTATCTCTTGAAACCAGAGAACGTTGCAAAAAGCAACGAGTTTTCCACTGTGTTTACTTACATGTCTAATTTGTTAACGTCTGAAGGTGCTTACTATCTTGCTGACTTATCWGGCTATAAAGGTGACATCACAGAATTTATCAACCCAACTCACTACATTGAATTTGTGAAATTGTCATATTCACTCTCGGATAAGTATGTCAGGCCACACGGGGGGATGTCTGCAATGATTAATAAACTTCATGAGGAAGTCCAAAACTATGGAGGTAGTGTCTATCTCAACGATAGGGTGATGTCTATTTCCAAAAGTGGCTCAGAATACATTCTTATGACAGAGAAACATAAGGCGGTGGCTAAGAAGCTAGTTGTTGCTACACCTCCGAAACCGTTTTATAACATCGAAGGAAATGTAGCCTCAAAGATCAACTCAGCCCCACAGTTTCAATCCATTCAACCCATTCCAGCGTTTAAAGGTCAGTTTTATTGTTTTGTCACTGACCAACTCCATGTCAGTGCCTGTCCCTAATCAGAGCATACATACAATTTACTATAATACATAGTCAATCCCATTAACTTTGTACAGTTTTAAAGACAGACAGCAACATAGTCATTTACATATATCATATTTGTATATTTTGGTATTATCTATTCAACTTCAAGCTGCAAAACATTTTTGCAATCTCAATAACATTTAGAATGCGACAATGATCTGGAATTTTATATCTAAATACTTCCCCAGGATTTTTAAAAACATGACTTTGTTGTTGGTCTTTATGTTTTCTAATACAACCTGTATGGTAATCAGGTGCAGGCATTTATGAGCATCCTTGGTGGGAGAAGGTAAAAGTAGGCAATACAAACTTCAAAGCAGGTCAGAAATTTATCTCTCAAGATAACTGCATTGGAATATCTATGGCGCACAGGTGAAAAGAGTTAAAGTATTTGTTCAAATTAGTGCGTTAGTCAATATGTTTGCTGTTTAATAAACCTATTATTTACCGTTTTTAGGGGATATGGAACCAAAGGTGAGGGTGTCATGCATACCATGTACAATGATGGYGCTTGTGCAGAAAGATGGAAGGATATCGCCTTACTGAAAAGGAACTACATTGACGAAGAAGTCCACAGAGCACTTGAAGCAAAATTTGAGATGAAAATACCGAAACCGATCAAAACAGAATACCAGTATTGGGATTCGGCATGGTAAGTCTTTCAAACAAGACTCAAACGCACGTTTTAATTCTCCATTTTTAAATTCAAAGCGGAAAACCGTTGATTTGTTTGAGAACATTTTCTTTTGCGCAAAAGCGTTAAAACTTTATTCCTTAAAGACCTGAAATTTGAACATTTTGGGAATACAGGGTTATAGCCTCAACTCAGAGAAAATGTTTATTATATATTACTTACCAAATTTTTTCGTGCTTTTTGCGTTTGTTCAAGAGAATCGGTTGCCATGTGAAACAGCAATTATTCACTTTGAACTCAAAATGGAGTTCTGTAACCTTAGTGGCACATAATGGATTTTTAGATCATATAAGAARTACATAACCAAAAGGTTGTTCTGCAAATGGAAATGAAATCTCGTAATGAAAACTTTATTGATTGATTGATTAATRATTCGGAACMCTATTGATTGTTGATTRCTGACAATGAWCGTCATTGTACTTTTTGTTTCTTCAAAACAGGCACTTCCAAAAGCCAGATACACCTTTCTCAATGGTGGATATTAGTGAATGGTCAAAACGACCATTTAAAGATGAGGACATTTTTGTCGTTGGTGAAGCTTATGACCCGATGAGAGGCTGGTGCCAAGGTTCTTTAGTGTCCTGTCGCAAGGCGCTCTATGAGGGCTGGGGGATTRAGAGGAATGCCATACACCATGCTTATAAAGAGRCAAAGAGATCTTTTACTCTTCCCCAAAACCTTGACTCAGCAGCGCGTCCATAAATGATCAAACAAAAAATGAGTGTCAATATATTATAACATGATGTCATTCATGTTCAGTTAATGGTGTTTGTAGTTCTAGCTTAATGGCTAAATAAAAGGTTGTCACTCAAATATCGRCTGAATATTGATCAATCCAATAGATTGTTGCTAGTCAAAAGAGAAGGATTGAGTCAAGATGTCATGGGTAATTAGTAACATTTAAAATGCAATAATTTGAATAAAGGCATGGACGCTGACTCAGGGTGCTTTCCATTTAGGCAGAACTGGCCAGACAGTCCACTCTATTTAGAGGTATGTAATGCTTTTTGTCAACATTTTTCAGTCATTTCAAGGTTTTCTGTAGAATAATGGTTAGAATTTGAAAATTTGAATTTCCTAACTAAATGGGAATGATATATAAGGCCTTTTTATCTGGGTCTGGCCAGCCAGTTCTGAAAAATGGAAAGCACACTTAATCTTGGGCATTCGTAATTCATTTCGAAGTATATTTGGATCTCTCTCTCCTTTTATAAATACATCCATTGCGAAAATTCTGACCGCTAGCACATTTCATTATATAAGATGCTTCATGGTTAACTGATTTCATGTGTTTTTTTCWCTTTTTCAAAGAAAATTCTAGCAGACTCATACTCATCAGAGTTAGTTACTAACTCTATACTCATTTATTTTTTCATGTAATTTCTCCTTATTGGTATGGCAAGTTGAACTTTAGATAAAGTTTCGTTTTCACTTTTTTCGTTAGTCTTCCTATAAGGGCGCTCAAACGCCGCTTTTAGCACGAACTAAACTTTTGTCATACGTATTCCATATATGGTATTAGCTAACAAGCATATAGCGGTCCCTAACAAGCGAATAGAAGCACGAGCTAACAAGCGAATAGCGGCCACTAAGGAATCCCAATTTACCGATGATATTCGCAATGCAAAATACTTTTTAAARATGTCACAAACAATTCGTTTGTGAGCCATCTTCAGCGGGTGGAAATTCATCCAAGTCGTTAGCAGCGAAATAAATTTSCAATCTTTCTACGTACAGCTGCCAATTATCTTTCTTTCCTGTAAAACTTTCCATTTTGCCAAGAAAAGAAAAAGACATGAAATGCAAAGAGCAAGAAAACTGTTAAAAATAGAAACAATTGCGAATTTAGAATCTATCATTCTGACGTCATAGCTTCATGTCATAAAACCGCTAAAAACACACTAGAAGGAGCTCAAGTTCCCGGCTACTAGTGTACTGAAACATACATAGTATCCATCAGTAGGTGAAACAAGCATGTTTTGGCCATGAAATCAGTGTCCCTCTTTGAGAATCTTGTGATTGCTACTATCGGCCATCACTGAATTTGGGGCGTCGCACTTGTTTTTGTGCCGAGCTCGGAATGAAATCAAAGCGCTTGCCGATCACGCAACACGAGTAGCAATTTGATTCGATAGGAGGGGTGATTCAACTAGAGAGACTGCTCAATTTTTGTACACCATTGTTGCACTGTAAGATACTATAATTGCTGCAAGGATTTCTTTGACGTACAAAGCGCGACCGAGCAAGAAGAAAATTACTTCACAAACTCATCGTGCCATTCCTCTACACGGATATCTTTAGCAAAAGGCGAAAGATATATGCGCGCTCGTAGAAAAAACAGACACGCCAAAACAGACACGTAGACGCGTGGGATGCAGTGATATCATTTTGCGCATGTGCAATTGCTGCTGTGTGCTTCATTGTCTGAAGCTTTATGATATGAATTACGAATTCAGAATCTATCATTGTGACGTCATAGCCTCATGTCATAAAACCAAGTCCGCGCGCGTTAATCGCAAGTTCCCGGCTAAGAGTGTACTGAAACCGGACGTCTCAAAATTCCACTTGTTTGTCGGAAACAAGCAAAACTTATAACTAATGAGAAAACAACAACAACAAGAGAACAGAGTGAATGCGAAACTGACAGGAAAAGAAAGGAAATTGTAAAAAATACAACACTTTCTTGAGTTTGAGTTTTTCGTTTCATTGCAGTAATGTGCCCCGTCTCTTAGACGGAGCAGTTGGAAAAATTGATCCACTAACTCTTTATAATGTTYCCCTACACGGATATCTTTAGTAAAAGGCGAAAGATATATGCGAAAATATGTAGAGAAACCAGAGTGCTAACTTTCGTCAACGAAGCGCAAGAGTCCGGTACTGGGAGCATTAACSWYCACGTGTGGGATGGGAAAAATCGTTACTGCAACCGGTGCGGACATGCGCGCGCACTCTGATCGACTTGATGTCGTTTTTGTCGTTACTATTATTTCAAACCCACGATAGAGCAATATATGCAGCGCAACTCAGACTGAAAACAAGTAATCGAACTGGATCGATAGAGAACTGTGTTTATTGCTAGCTATTAAGAAAAGAACGAAATACAATCATTGTATGATAGTCTTCCTCAGTGATACATTATTTACAATCTTCGTATATCTATATATATCATCTATTTATAGTGTTTCTACTATATCAATTAATAATACCAATAACTCCGCGGGTGTCCCTWTAGTGCTGGCGGCAAAATGTATGGTGACTGYCTGGCAGCAGAACGGCTGTAAATCGAGGGAACGACATGTRMTCTRGAGTACGCTACTGGGCGATAAGGAACAAAAGGCACAGCAGGACGAGTCTGACGAGGAGTTGGCTGTACCGGCTGTATTACAAGGCTGTGGGCAAGACTATTCAGGTAGGCTAACTTGGCTGATCGCTGTCTATGGTGGGAAAGCTGATTTTTCAGAGTCACTCGGCGCTCGCGGAACCAGAGCTTGATTTGATCTTCACTTGCGTGGATCTCTGCTGCTAGGTGCTGACGTTGCTTCTTGTTGGGGTACGGCTGGAGGCTGAAGGCTTTGTCGAGGAGTCTTTCCTGGTCCACGGACATAGACGGCGCTTGAATTGACTGGTCGACAGANCGGACTTGAGCGGTTAACATTGCTACGAATAATAAAGACAAAATATCCATCAGTATAAAGTGAAACAAGCATGTTTTGGCCATGACATGAGTGCCTGTCATTTTAGTATCACAATTAAAAGGTTACACTGCAGACACGAAGAACGCAAAAGCAAAGCTAATGGTTTGATTTAGTTGTAGAGCAATTCTCAACATAACTTACCTGCTGCATCAGCACTCTTTGCAGGAACAGGGAGCTGCGAGCGACAATCACTTGTAGAATTAGAAGAGCCCTCCGTCGCACAAGACTCAGTACGTAGAAGATCCTCAATCATGAATGATCGCTTTGTCTGGAAAGGACTGCTGCTGGTTGCTACTTGTGTTCGGACCATGTCTGCTTTTTCTCAGTGTATTTGGGGAGACGTTTTCTGTGTGAAAGCAGTCGAAAGAATGAGCCCATGTGTCGGACAGTCTTGTTTTTATATTTTAGCTGCCACATCAAACACGGACCGCACGAAAGCGAAAGCCACAAGATTCTCCAGCTCGTAGTCTTTGTGTAAANTTGCTACGAATAATAAAGACAAAATATCCATCAGTATAAAGTGAAACAAGCATGTTTTGGCCATGACATGAGTGCCTGTCATTTTAGTATCACAATTAAAAGGTTACACTGCAGACACGAAGAACGCAAAAGCAAAGCTAATGGTTTGATTTAGTTGTAGAGCAATTCTCAACATAACTTACCTGCTGCATCAGCACTCTTTGCAGGAACAGGGAGCTGCGAGCGACAATCACTTGTAGAATTAGAAGAGCYCTCCGTCGCACAAGACTCARTACGTAGAAGATCCTCAATCATGAATGATCGCTTTGTCTGGAAAGGACTGCTGCTGGYTGCTACTTGTGTTCGGACCATGTCTGCTTTTTCTCAGTGTATTTGGGGAGRCGTGTTCTGTGTGAAAGCAGTCGAAAGAATGAGCCCATGTGTCRGACAGTCTTGTTTTTATATTTTAGCTGCCACATCAAACACGGACCGCACGAAAGCGAAAGCCACAAGATTCTCCAGCTCGTAGTCTTTGTGTAAAGCGGAAAAGAGGAAAAGAAAAGAAATTAAAAAAAATTAAAGGATTTTAAAAAAAGGGAAAAGAAACTGCGAAGCAAACAATTAGTTCAAACTAGAAACAACGACGAGAACAACAAACCTCGAGAACTTGCCGACATGACAGGACGTGAATCGTTTGCACAGTAATCAAACACAAAATGATGCCTGTAAACTCAGTAAATCTGTTAAAAACTAAGCCAAAATTCACAACTGGGTTGTTGCTGCTTTCATAAATTGACGACCGAAAAGAATCTTGGGAAATGCTTTGTAACGAAGAAAGGGGAACCTTAGCAACTCTGTTTAAACAGATTTTTATAAGTGTTGAGTCACTCGCACCTACAGGCAAAATATTGMATTGATTGCTTGCTTTGATTGCTGAATCTTGCTTGATTTACCTTTGTAGGCTCTGATAGCTTCCACAGAACGACAGGGATGCGATCTTTCTACCTGTAACGATCCTTCGCGCACTGTCTTCGAAAAATCGCTTCCCACTTCTGATTTCTTCCAGAAGAGTGTCTCTACCGCCTAGACTAGCTTAATGATGCTGGTCTAGGGGCTTCTGTTGCAGCAACTGACTCGTAAAAACACTTATCAACGCGAATATATTTGAGGCTGATTGCTTGTCAATACAGCGAGCTGTCTACTTGAATTTGCCAAGYGTTACTGAAATTAACATTTGAATTATCAATAGTTTGATTGACAGGTCCTAATATGGAGTTGAATTTGTTTATAAGCATTCACTYCATCTTTTCTATTTTGCCTACGTGAATGTGTTCATTTAGCAATAATTCTTAAATTGCTTTATTGAAAAGGTTGATATGCAACAGTAATATGAAACCTTCAGGGGAGGGGGAGTGGCGGAGATTTTTAAAACACATTTTAGCMGGAGATTTATGAAAACACTGTTTTAACAGCACAATCAACAATAAGCAGGGGGAATTAACATCAAAATCAAAGGAAATGATCCGCTTAGCGGCGTTTTTTTCATCTTAGGGCCGGGAAATGTGGGGACTTTAACTTTATTAATTTCCTCGGGGTTTGGGAGTCATGGTTTTATTTTGACTGATGCATTAATYGACTGTTTACAAAAAAGTCATTTATAGATATCGCATTCATGCATGCTTTTGTAATGAATTACTGATAGCATCTRATTTGGAGTTTTAATTTAATTTGCAGTTTTATTGAAATGTTGTATTGATGTCTGACATCTCGTCGTTTTAATCGGTATATATTTTTTGACACATTGTTTACAGCTATTTCAGAAAACTTTGTACTCTACCTAAACAATCTAATTAAAATACACTATTTAAACAATAGAATGAGAAAATCGTGGATTTCAGGATTATGCTGTGATAGTTCCCGGCCAAAACTGGATGTTCCGAAAAAAATAGTCCTCACCGAGAACGCAGTTTCCAAGAGTAACTATCACAGCAAAAAAGCCCGAAATTTAAACAATTCTATTGTTTTTATTATTCAACAACAAACGTGTCTGAAGTGGGTGAAAAGCGTGTTTGGGCTACTATATGCACTGATAGTACCCCCTGAAGTTTACTGATTTTTGACTTGATACATTTTAATCGACAGGATATCGGAATAAGCATTCTTTTCTTGACATTCTTCCAATTAATGGAGTTTCAGTGTACGACGCATCACAAACGTGGTTTGCATTTAGTTTTTGAGACTAGACCGTTTTCCGTAGATTCCGGTTTGTATTGCCTGATTGCCTGAATTACTATAAAACATTTGTTTGTATGGAAGGCCCATAAAGCGTTGACAGTCAATCAACGAGCCACCATAACCCATTGAGATCGCTCTACACTTGAGATCCACAAAACAGTTACCAAAGGAAGTTCGACAGGGTGAACCACTGCAAGGATCGTAACCGCAGAATGTTGAAGGCTTCTTAATGAAATATCGTYCATAATCTAAACCAAACAACAACAACGATAGGTTAAATGATTACAAAAGATTAGCCGAGAGTTTGAAACTGGGCCGAGTCGCCAAGGCGCTTGGGACGCAAAAACAGAAAGACAAGAAGMAAAATACAGAAATTCAACTGTTGAGTTTCCAATTGTAAGAATGGACATCTTGTAGAAAGTTATCGAGTCTTCCAGTTTTAACACCAAATTCAAATTCTGATGTTAGTCACATTTCTCAATAGGTCGTAATGCAACTAGTCAGTTGAAACTCTTGCCCCCGATCCCCGGGGTTAGCGGGGCACTGAACGGGGAGGTGACACGTTTTTAACGTGCTTTTAACAGCAAAGTTGCCCCTGGGGTCGGGATTTTAATGAATTGTTTTCGAAGCGGGGCAAAGAGTGGTGAATT